ATCATCTCCGGATCCATTTCCAGTGGCGGTTGTGGTGTTTGTAGATGGTTCGGTGCGCTCTCTGGAATAAAACGTTTGTCATATGTAAATTATATGGAAATATAGCATAAACCCGCAAAAATACCTCACCTAGTTCGCGGATTGAATACATGTGTCCCATAGATATCCACAGGTATCATGGAGTCGTTTGTACGAGGGAAGAACGGGTCGTCTTCGTCCACCTCAACATAATCCGAGGGGCTGAAAGAACAGAGTTATGAGTATAAAGCAAATATGTATGGATCAAAATGAACTGCGAGCGGATCCATGCTCGAATATACTCCACAATTCCCATACCTACTCGTGCAATAACCGCATTCATGCAATAGACAGTGCACAACGAAGAAAAAAAGAGAAAGCTTTAAGAGAACGTGCTGGCAACAATTTTACTATTAGAGCTGGCTTAATATGCACACGACGACGTACGGGTGAAGGGCGGAGCTGTCCCAGTGCGACGTACCGAAACGAGACACGCTTCGTATCGTCAATGCTGTTGTGCTGTGCGCATTGCCATGCGGTCAACGAATCCTGCGTGATCGTCGTCGGTACACGATAGTACATCGCCGCTTCTGACGTTGTATCATAGCGCACTGGACGATATCGCACATGGTTAGTGTAGCTGACAAATATGATCACATCAAGTTACTCAGCATTTGGGGTCATTTGAAGCGATATCTCAAGTCGCACGGGATTTTGGGTTTTAATTGTGGTATTAGTGTACAAAACTAATAAAGCATATTAGATTGGGTTTTTTGCAAGAAATTCGAGCTCTCTCATTATTTCAGAAGTTGCGAACTGAGATACCAATATGTTCGAGCTTTCATAAACCAGTCAGATTAAGTTATTGACTTCCTTTTACCATGAAGGACTTATGGCATCCTTGCCATAAGTCTGTTTTTGATTACATATGGATAACGATGAAATAAAAAGTGTGTTATGTGGTTGCTGGATACTCCAAAAGATCCACTCCCATAATCCGATTGCACTTTTTTCCATCAAATTGTCAGTTGGGAGCATATAAGTGCATATCTAGTTTAAACCTCTAATAAAATGCGAAGAATTGCTTCCTTTACGGCTTCCTCCTCCTGTCAAAACTTCGGAAGTATTCAAACAATTTTGTTTAAATAAGGTATTAGCCATAGGTTTAATACGCTCTATATGAAAACTGTGAAGAGAGGGGGAGGATAGAGAAAAATATAAATAAAACATGAATAAAATAAATAAAACTCTATTCCCGTAGAAGTGACAGATCAGAAGGAAGAACTACCCGAAGACTGTGTGGAAGTAAAATATAGCAGTTTTTTGCATTGGCCGGCATATGAAATTAATAAATTTTATCTACTGGTGGATAATTCCATTTATTGCATTTTACAGGCAAAGCGCTATATACCATAGCAAAACCAGTTATTTTGAGTCTATAAAACAAAAAAATGAAATTGCAAACGTCTTTCAAAAGAATAAACTAATAGGGGAAGAAGATCAACAAAAATATATGTTATATTAAGCTAAAGCATTTTCAGTTTGTTTGGCGCTTTGAGTAAACATCAAAGTGTATAAAGATATGGTCCTGCTTTCGCGTGGAGGGGAAGATAGGTCAGAAAGGGGCGTGGCGTGGAAGAGGAGATGACACGCCCCCTTTTAGATGGTTGTACGGAGTTTTCTCCACAATTGTTTTAGTTGACAGCTTACATAACGTTCAGTATTAATGAACAAAAATATCATTTTCAAATTTCTATTGGATTACAATTCTAAATACTTAACGTACAGACACTTTTTCATCACATCTCTGTCCATAAAGCAGAAACTTAAAATTCTACGGTTGATGAACAATCTGCAGCTGGAAACATAGGGTTATGGAGCTCTTTCCCAAGCTTGTTATAGGCACACCCATTTTTCCTGTCTTATTTAAATGAAACCCTTTATGGCATACCCACTGTGTGGGATGATGGGACGAATAGCCGGACAATGTAACTAATGCACAAGTAAAGCCGTGATGGTAAATTTACAATTGCGCTGATTTTGTAAGTGAAACATAAACGTGGGACAAAATGAGGAAAAAAAAGGTGGACTGTGAATGGTGACGGTGACGATCACAAACAGTACCATGAACAAGCAACTGTATATAAGTAGATGTTCAGAACTTACAGTCTGGTAAAGAGATTCCATGATCGTGAAACGATAACAAGTAGCGTGAACAGGAATAAGCCTAGCGAGAGTAGACAAAACGTGAGCACTGACGATCCAATACTGAAAAATGCGATTATCAGACATCTCCAGAATTTTTTATTGATTTCCCTTTTTAAAGACAGAAAAAATATTCCTAGAGATTTCTATAGAAGGAACCAAACAAAAGTATAAATTATCTGTTAAAGCAAAAGCAGAGCAAAACATGTGAGAGAAGTAGTAAAGTTACACCACGTGACACGCAATCAACCATTTCCTGTGAAAATTTGCACTCAAAAATAACTTAATATAAAATAATGTATTTTAGTCTCGAAACGTGAAATGAAGACTTATGAGTATTTTAGCTACCACAATGTCCTAGAAAATAGAATACCGAGATCATTGTAAGAGATATAATTTTAGAATTGGCCAGGATTTCGCGAAAAGCAGTTTAGAATTCTCGGCTGTTTCTGGTTGCAAATGAAGCTATAGAATTCATATTAGCTCTCATGTCTTTACTA